CTGGATTGCTGCCATGTCTTGTCTGTGCTGGATTGCTGCCATGTCTTGTCTGTGCTGGATTGCTGCCAATGCCTGGACTGTGCTGGAGTGCTGCCAAGGGCCTGTCCGTCTGTTAATAAAGTCCTTCAACTATCTTGGTCTCAGCGTGTTTTGGTGTAGGACGAGGGGGGGGGTCAGAACATATAGTTATTTAAATTGAACAAACCTTACAATGTTTGACAATGGAATGCTATATATTGCACAGAATAGATAACAAGTCTATTGATTGGCTTACCTGAGAAGAATATGTGTGACCATCGGATCCACAAACCGGATTGGTATAAATTACAGGACACTGTTTGCATTTTGATGAAAGAGAACCAACTCTCCATTGTTTATGACTTAAACCAGCTTCTTTCATCCTGAAAGATATCAAATCAAGTAAGAAATGTATGAAAAGGTGATCAGAGAAGTATAATATATATTTTTAGTATTAAATCATGTCTAATGAACATTGTGTTACCTGTGTTCATACATAATACTAAGCTAGAAGTCTTAAACCACAGTTTGTTGAATAGGTCACAGTGATCATGATTAATGCAATGATTAGCCCTTTTATGTTATCTGTTGAAAGTCACAGAAGAGTGAACACAAGTCATGTGGTGCATCAAGAGTAAATGAAGCCAGATCCAAATCTTGATGGAAACGCCATACTTTTTTGTCTTATAAGCTCCTTTGTCTGTTCTAAACAGCAATTTTTAGAAAACAAATCGTATTAAAATATCATTTGATACCTAGAAAAAACATTTATGAAACCAGTTTGATAACTACAAGAAATTAGGCTAATGACAGGTTTATCCACTACACTACATTCAAAACAACAAATCCCACTGTAGCTTACTATTATTTGAAAACTATGCCACTTCCTTCGTTAATTTAAACTAATATTTGCATCTTATATTAATATCTTGGCTACTGCGGAGAAATATTTACAACGCCATAAGAAAGATCAATCACTGTCAGGACTGAATAACATTTAGCAAGATTTAACCTCTTGCATAACCACAAGCATTGTGGGGGCGGAGCTGCAGCTGGTGCAGGCGGAGCGTGTTTGCAGTAGCGACTCCCGGTTTTATTTTATTTTATCAATTTTTAGTACGCCCATTGGATCCTTTTTTATTTAATTAACATTTTTCAGTGGAGATAACAGCGTAGGCCATAACACAGACAAAAGTTTTTGTTGATGCCGAGGATTAAAAAGGCATGGGAAAAAGAAAGAAATGCCATGGCACCAGCGCAGTATCTCTCCCTCCAGTGAAAACAGCAAAACAACCAAAAATTGAGGAGCACTTTGTTGGCAAGAAATCTGTAAGTAAAACTAACCTCCCCCCACCCTCCCATTCCCAACAATCTGGAGAGATTAGAATGGGACCTGCAAAAAGATTTGGCAAAACAGAAGTTACTAGACTTTCCCAATCTGGGGGTGGGGGGAGAACAAACTGAAAGCCAGCTCTTCTCACAAACAACTAGTCCAATTACCACAAACATTGTGGCTTAGTATGTTGTTCCAGTTTGATTAAAAAAAAAACAAACCACAGATCTTGGCCCAAGTCTATGTCTTTTTTTTTCAAAGAATTTTTTATTTTTTTATTCTCTTACATACCATTGTAAGTATACATTCACATAATTGTTGTCCTTTACATTTATCATTCTTAAACATTTATTATTCCATTTAATAGGTTATAATGTACAGTTTGGGTTGCTTTACTTGCCATCCCTTCCTCCTTTTGTAACACCTCCTTGTTTTCTCTTTCTTTTCTCCCTCCCTCCCTTCTCTACTTTCTTCCTTTCTACTCTCCCTTCTCCTTTCTTCTTCTCTTCCCTTTCTCCTACTGCTTCCTCTTTTCCCCTCCTACCCTCTCTCCTTCTCTTTCTCTCCCTTTCATCCTCCTGTCCTTACCTCTTTCTTCTTTCCCCGTCTTACTTTCTTTCTCTCCTCCTCTCTTCCTTTCTTTTTCTATTATTGTTGGTGTATATTTCAAATCTCAGATTACGTTTCCTTGGGATGGTATTTACGCCAACCCAAATATAATTTAGTATCATTTCTTATTCCCTTAACTTCACTAGTCTAGCCTAGTTATGACTCCCCCCTTTATAGCTTGCTCTTGAATATATACTTATATATTTAATATTTCTTTTGTTTTCCCCTTCCCCCCCCTTTTCCATTTAATAGTGTGTCATCTGGGTACTTTATCTTCTCCCTATTTTCTTTTCTAGCTTGCTTTCTCTAGCCAATCATAAAATCTTCNTTAGAGGGAGGAAAGGAAAGTTGGAGGGGGAAGATGGGGTGTATGGAGGATGGAAGTGTCAGGTGGGGTTGTGATTGATGAGTTGTGTTTTCTTTTTATTTTGTTTTATTTCTTTTTTTATAGCAAATATCCAGTATATAAGTGACTGTAAAATGGAATGTGAAAATGAATAAAATATATTTGAAAATAAAATAAAATAAGGAAAGCAAGGATCTCACTAGCCAGATAGACAGAAGGGTAATATCCTTCCCAGCATCATGACTAGAAAGCTGCCTATAATCCATAATAATTATAACCATAATTTACAGCAGTGTAATAATAATGTTGATATACAACTTTGAGTGACAAAAGCCAGCAACAAAATAGCTAAACCTTTGGATACTTGTTCTTCTGGCTCTGGTCTTAGAAGCCCTCTCTTTCTGCCCAAAAAACAACTCTGCCTTGATTCCCAAGACTTGTCAATCAGCCATCAACAAAACCACTCCTAATTCTCACTTCACACAGAGAAGCATACAGAGTATACTTGTTTTAAGAGACACACATACAGTATTTGTTTTACTTATTTAATTTTCATACAACATAATATTTTCCAGCCTTCACATGTACAAGTGTGAACAGTGTGATTTGAATGGCAAAATAAAAGGGAAATTAGTGAAAGACTGATAAAATGTAAGCATAAATTACAGAAATTAGATATTTCTCCTCCTGCACTAAGCGTAGTATACAAAATTTCTGACCATTTAAAAAAATTCACCCAATTACAATTTCTACTATATTTTGATTAAAAGAGCCGTGATGGCACACAGGTTAGAATGAAGTATTGTAGGCTAATTCTGCTGACTACCAATGGCCCACAGTTCGATCCTGACCAGCTCAAGGTTGACTCAGCCTTCCATCCTTCCGAGGTCAGTAAAATGAAGATCCAGATTGTTGGGGGAGATATGCTGATTCTGTAAACTACTTAGAGAGTGCTATAAAGCACTGTGAAGTGGCATATTGCTATTTTAGGCTACATGATAATATATCACAAAAATCCTAGAATAAAGATTATGAAAGTGATATTATACTGTTAAGTATTTATTTTACTTCTATAGCAGTGGTTGATATCTTCTCAAAAATGCATTGTATAATTTGCAGAAATCTGCAAATAAAACGAAGTAGCTAAACCATACAAAGCACTTTAAAAAAAAACAAAGTTTATATACATTTTCTGGAAATTTGAACACTGATTACCCTTCAAAATAATCCTGCATTTGTATAATGCAATGTTCAGTTTGAAAAATTTCCCCCAAATGACTCCATCTTTAATGGGATAGAGAAACAAGCAGCAAGTACTTTTAAAAATATGTATCATTATATTTAGTTATTGCAAAAATATCTTAGGGTTACTCTAAAAATTTAATATTACTTTGTTTTCTCTAACATACTCCCCCTTTCTCCCCAGTCACCCATTTGCATTGATTAGAGTGAAATAAAAACAGTCAGGGAGCATAGTTTAAGAATAATCATTTTCTACTCATTTCCATGATGATGATTATTTTCATATTGGTCATCTGTATTACTGGACATAGTATAGAACAACAAGAATAAGCTCATACAATTCTGAGTTTGTATGACATTCTGGTAAGGAGGAACTATATAAAGCATTACTCATTTTAGGCTAAAGGTTGCCAGCAATTTTGCATAAAAACAGTGGAAATTATTCAGAATGATGTATTTTAGTTTTTATTCTGCCTTTAGGTAAAGGTTCCCCTCGCACATATGTGCTAGTTGTTCCCGACTCTAGGAGGTGGTGCTCATCTCCGTTTCAAAGCTGAAGAGCCAGCGCTGTCCGAAGAATCTCTCTGGTCATGTGGCTGACATGACTAAATGCCAAAGGCGCACGGAACGCTGTTACCCTCCCATCAAAGGTGGTTCCTATTTTTCTACTTGCATTTTTACGTGCTTTCAAACTGCCAGGTTGGCAGAAGCTGGGACAAGTAATAGGAGCTCACTCTGTTATATGGCGCTAAAGATTCGAACCGCCGAACCGCCGACCTTCCTGATCGACAAGCTCAGCATCTTAGCCACTGAGCCACTGTGTCCCTTTATTTATTTATTCT